GGGGGGCAACGGGGGGGGACGGGACGGGACGGGACACCCGACCCGGAGTGCCACAGAGCCCCCAATTTATGGCTTTGGGACGCTGCGCCCCCCTGGATGGGGGGAGATGCCCGCGTTTATCCAACGCACCCATTTGTGGTGCCCGGAGGGCTGGGGTCCGCTCAAGGCACGTGGAGATGGGGAGGGATTTGGGTTGGGGTCCGGGCAGCGAGGTCCCCTATGGGGTGAGGCAGTGACAGCGCTGCCACGAGGACACGGGGGTCGGGTTGGGAGCTGGAAAATCTCTTTTGGGGGTCGTGAAGTGAACCCGGAGACACTGAGATCTCAGCTGTGCCGCCCTGCAGAGCTCCGGGGCAGAGCCGTGGCACTGAGGGTCCCGGGGGGCACCGGGGGGCACTGCGGGGTCGGGGCGGCTGCTGCTCCGGCTATGGGGAAAGCGAAGCAGCTCCGACTGTTTTCCTCCATCAGTTCCTGCGTTCCCATCGCGTTTCGCAGCTTGGAGGAGCTGCTGAGCCGCCGTCAGCGCAGCGCGGCCCTCAACCGATCTGGGAAGTGGGAGCAGGGGAAAAAAAGAAATGGGCTGGGTTGGAAGGGAAGCACAGAGCTGCTCGTCAATGGGAAAACAACCCAACAGCGCTTCGGGTTCTGCTGCCCCGAAGGAGCGGCGCTGAGCACCGAACTCAGCTCCAAAGTGGCAAAGTGCGACCTGAGGGGAGCTGGGGAGGGGGGCGGGAGGGGGGGGGCACAGAGCTGTGTGTGTTTTGGGGGGGGGGGGGTCCCAGAGGAGCCCTTCGCTTCCAAAATACCGACTGCATCCCCAATGCTCGCACAAGGAGCCCTGGAAGGGAACCCGTAGCTCTCGGTGCTGGGTCGGCTCTTCTCCGCTCAGCTCCGGGTCAGAAGAGCAGAACGCGACCGGGATGGAGAGGGAAAAGTCAGGGCAAACCAGCGGCATCCCCCCCTCCCCGTGCTCCCACCCCCCTCCCCACCTCGGAAGAGGCAACGATGCGTGATTTAAGGCCACCAACGCGAGGTCGTCGCGATCCTCGGGGCTGGGAGCGATGAGGAGCGCCGGGTTCGCCCTGCAGGAAACCCACAGACATCGCAACGGGGATCCCGGCGCGCTTCTGAGCTCCGAAATCCGTCCCCGGTGAGCAGCCCGAGCTCCATCCCTTCAGCAGCAGCTCTGCTCAGTCTCAAACAGCGCCGGGCAGCGGCAACGAAACCTCGCGTCCTTTCCACCCCCCCCCCCCCCCCCCCGGGGCTTTACTTTGCTGGGAGCGGAGCTTTAGTGTTCACGGGAGCCGAAAGCAAAACGTCTGCAGGTCGGCTCACAAAGTGCGGCCGTGCGCCTTCGGGTGACGCACGCGGGGCCGGGGGGCCGCGGTGCAGCTTCGGAAACCCCAACAGCCGCCCTTCGCTCGAAGCAAAGAAAACCAAAGCCCAAATCCGCGCCGTCCCGCGGTGGGGGGGAGGGGGAAAAGGAGGGGGAGGCGGCCGCGCTCAGTCCTGCGGGGCCACGAGCATCATCTGCCGGCAGACTGCGACTGTGGGGCCATGATGACGTGTGGCTGCAGGGCCAGCTCTGTCCTTTGGTTCGCCATCTGCGTCAGCACCGACGTGGCCACGGCTTCGGCCGCCGAGCGGACGCTGAGGCCGTTGGGGGACGCGGTGACGGAGCTGTGCTGGATGACGGGCGCGGGGGAGCCGGTGGGCTCCGAGCTCTCCTTGGGGCTTTCTGCTGGGAGAAGGGAAAAGAAAATGGAGGAGAAGCGGCTGGGGAACCATTTTGTGGTTTTGGGATCTTTAAGGATCCTTCCAACCCGAAAATCCCATGGCTCTGGGACCTTTAAAGACCCTTCCAACCCAACCATCCCATGGATCTTGGACCTTTCAGGACCTTTCCAACCCAGCCATCCCATGGTTCTGTGATCTTTAAGGACCTTTCCAACCCAACCATCCCATGGTTCTGTGATCTTTCAGGACCCTTCCAACCCAACCATCCCACACTTCTATGTCCTTTAAGGACCCTCCCAACCCATCCTTGCTGTCATTCCATGGTTCTGTGATTCCTGAACGCTCACCTCCCAGCCCAGAACTGAAGGGCTGAGCCCAACAGGAGCCACAGCTCCACCCCAATCCCCCCCACTGCTACAACTGGGCAAAAGGGAGTCAGCTCTGGAAATGAAGCTGATGAGGGTCTCAACGTAACACTGCCATGGGAACTGGAAAGTTGGGAAGGGAATGGAGGGGGAAGGGGGGCAGAGTCCTCCAAAGGTCTCTGCATAAAATGCGATGAGGTAAGAAGCAGCCAGGCAGACTGAGAACGAAATAGGTGGTATAAAAACTAAGAGGAAGGAAAGGAAGAAAATGGGAAGATAAAAACAAGGCCTTCAGCTTCCTGAGCCACTCTGATGTCACAGGGAAGGAGATCTGGAGCCCCAGGATGTCACTGACAGAACCTGCCCGTTCCTGACCCTGCTTTCAGAGCAGAGATGGGTTTTAAAGACATGAAGAGCTCTGAGTGCTGCCCGGAGCTGCTGGGTGGGTGCCACGTCCCCCAGCACGGGGACAAAAAGGCCACACGGAGGGGTGAAGCTGCACGTGGAGAACAGCAATCAGGAGGAGACGGGGCAAAGCCTGAGGTTCCCAAAACCACAAACCCCTCCTTCTGCGGTCCCTGCTGTGGTTCAACCTCCCGGCAGCAGCAGCAGCAGGCGGCGCTCACCAAGATAGCCCTGGGTCTTCTTCTGCAGCGCGGTGACGGGGCAATCCTTGTGAGCCAGCAGCAGCTGCTTCAGCTGAGCCACCTCATTCCTCAGCAGCGTCACCTCGTTCTGCGATTGAAAGACAAGGACGTGTGGACATGTGGACGTGTGGACATGTGGACGTGTGGACGTACGGACACGTCGCTGCCAGCTCGTCCTGCGAGCTCAACGCTTGGCATCGAGCTGCAGACGGCCTGGGGACACCAAAGCTTCCGGGTGGGGGGGATTTGGTGGCCAAGCCACGATGGGAGAGCTCTCCTGAGCTGCCCCTCGCTGTCTCTCCCTGCCCGACCCTTCCTGAGCCCCCACAACTTTCAGGTTCGCTGCCCTCCAAGCTCCGTGCAGCAAAATCACTGCCCTCTATGGAAAGGTTTGGAGAAATGGCTGAAACTCCGTCAGTTACGCTGCAGAACTGCCCTAGGAAACAGTTTCTAGAATTACTTTGGGAAGAGAATTCAATGCCACGATCGGTGCTACTGAAAAAAATTCCATTCCATGAGTCGTGGGCAAGCAGTGGGAGAAAAAGCCCAGGATGGACACGAGTTTGGTTTTTGCAGACCAATCGCAGGCCAACGCTGAGGGCATTAATGAGGGGGATAATTGCAAAAGGAGAAAGGTTCCGTTCAGCTGTTTTTAGACCTGCTGCACTTCTGCAGGCAGGAGGGGAGCAGCCAGAAAGACTCAATTCTTCACAAAAATCTGTGGCTGCAGCTGCAAAACCTCCTTGCTCAGCCCTCTGCCCCATGAAGGGAACTGGGACTGCTGTGCTGTGCTGACCCTGTGCCAGCAGAGAGCTCCCACCTCCAGAAAGCAGATTTCCATCCTATAAACACGGCTGCTTTCATCCCGTCCCCAGCAGGAGGTGCTCTGTGCAGCTCCCCCCAGGGAACCATTGGCTTTCTTGGCCACTGGAGCTCACTGCTGGCTCATGGCTGATCACCGGTCAGCTGCTGGTCAACCTTTGGCCAACCAGGGCACCACTGGCCTTCAGGGCACACAGCCCACCAGGTCCTCCTCCACACGGCTCCTTTCCAACAGCTCAGCCCCTGACCTGCACTGATACGTGTGGAGTTCACAGCAGCACCCGAAGGCATTTTCTCTGCAGCACGGGGACGACGTTCCCTCCGCGGTGACACCGACCCGGAGCGGCCGGGCTGAGCTCAGCCTTACTGGTTACACACTCACGCTCAGCTGGATGTTCTGGGTTGTGAGCTCCTCGGCTTTCTTCTCTAAGGAAGACACCCACAGCTTGCGTTTCTGCCGGCAGCGCGAGGCAGCAGCTCTGTTCCTCTCCAGGAAACGCTGCCGGCGCTCGTCGGGGTCCTCATCGACCGTCCGCCTCCGCCGACCGCCGGTGCTGGGAGTGGGTTGTGCAGGGGAAACCTGGAGATGGGGAGAAGAGATGCTGAAAGGGAGCACGCAGCTAACAGAGCGCGGAGCAAGCGCTTCCCACCAGGCCTGGAGGAGGAGATGCGGGATCTTGGGGCTGGGGGAAAGAGGGATCTGGTTTGCAGAGCGGGCTGGGGAGGAACGGAACCACGCGTTGTCTCCGCTCGGGGTCCATAACCACAGGCAGAGCACAAACAGTGGTTTCTGAGTGGGCAATTTGCTTTCAAGATTAATTTGCTTTCCATTTTCTCCAAATGCCTTCAGCCAGACGCGCTCTCGGAGGCAACGGGAAGATTTTGTAGCTCCACACCACATCCCAGGCTCATTTCAGAACAAAGGAAACGGCGGGGAGGGTGCGGGGTCCCAACCTGGTGGGCTCTGCCACTGCGGCTGCTGGGCTGTCAGGCAGCAGATGGACATTAAAACTTTTGGAAGGCGCTGCAACTGACAGAGCAGGTGGCGATGCTGATGGAGGGCTGGCATTTGGTGAGCTGGCAGGAGCTGCCGGAGCTGATTGCCTGAGAGGGGAGCGTTTAACCCTCGTAACCGAACGGGGAGAAGGGAGCAAAATATTCTTTCAGAACTGCAGCCCTTGTCAAGCAGATGAACGCCTCGGTGGAGTTTTCTGCCTGGTGGCGTTCGAGAGCATCAGTGCCGAAGCAGCGCTGGAAAAACAAAGCTTTTAAACCGTTTTTGCAAACCAGGAAGGTGTGAGGTTTGCTCCCCTGAGGCTCAGTAACCCCCAGCACCGGGGCTGGGCAGCAGCAGACCTGAGGCTGAGCTGGCGATGGAGCGTCGGGGTGCTGGACGAGGATCTGGCTCTGCTCGGGGCGCGCCGTCACCATCGTGCTGGCTGTGCCCACCACCAGGCCGCTGCCGTTCAGCGAGGAAGACGCCGTCAAGCTGGCCTTCAGCCTCTGCCAGAGGAGAACAAAGGACATCAGCCACCCCTTCCCCGCTCTGCTGAGGCTTAATGCAGCTCCTTTCCCACCCAGGGAACTCAGGTGACTGAGGAGTGACAGCGGCCGTTCCAAACCCAAGTGAAGCCACCATCACCGCCTGGCTTGGCTCGAGGCAGCAGCTTCCAGCTCAGACAGGTGCCCGCATCCCCAAACTGACACAGTGCCCACATGGGGATGGGATGGGGATGGTGGAGGGCCTCCTTTCATCCCTTGAGCATTCTGAGATATCTCAGCCATGGTGCAGCTCTGCCCGTGAGCCCTGCACACACTTGGTGGTGGTGTGGAACAGCACAGCGCTGCCAGGAGGCAGATCTGTACCCCCCCCCCCCTCATTCTGACCAAAAAACAACGGGGTTTCGCTGCCCTTTGTTCTAAAATTGAGGTGTTTTTTTCCTCACAGACCTTCAGTCGAAGGCTCTGCACAAAACCCATTACCCAGACCCTCGGATTGCAGCACAGCATCCCTGCTCTTGGCTCCGCCATCCCCAAGCCCACCTCCAGCCCATCTGTTACCTTGGATGCAGGCAGCAGCTCTGCACAGACGACGCCAGGCTGAGCTGCGTCCCACCAGCACCGAGTGCCCACCCTGCAGGCCAGAGCCGCAGCCCCTCCAACACCTGATCCCAGCACAGAGCAGCACTCTGACCTGATTTCGGAGCTGCTCTTTGTAAAAACCAAGGGGAAAAAGCCTTCCTGCAGCGGCCAGCGCAGACGGAACGCTGCGGGCACGCGTTGCACACTCACCATTTTGGCTTCTGAGTGCACGGGGAGACCCGACGGGGAAACGGAGCCACTGCTGCTGATGGGCGGCCCGGGAATGCCGGGAATGTTGGGCACGATGGAGACGGGCCGTGCCAGCTGACGGGGAGGAACCGACGCAGCGTTAGGAGCCGCGGTGCCAACGAGCCCCGCAATCATTCCCCGACCGAGCGCATTTATCAGCCCTGACAAATCTCGGCGTTTAACTGCCGCCGTTTATCAGTGCTGCTGTCAGCCCAGGGCAGCAGCCGCCCCTTTGGTGGCCACGGTTGCTGGTGAAGGATTGCCCGGCAGCAGCAGCCCCACACCTCCCTCCTCTCCCCATCCCTGGGTGGGAAGAAACGGAGCGCTCCGGTTCTCGGCAGCGCTGCAGAGCTGCAGCAGCACCGGGGGCGCATTGAAGCGTCTCCTGCTAAGTGAGGAGAGCTCTGCCCTCACCACGGGGAAAACAGAACCTGCACTTGCGTTAGCACGCCGCTCAGGTCCGCTGTTGCAAAGCACTGCAGCCCCAAAGCCGTGCCTGCAGGCAGCAGCACGGCGCAGAGAGCTGCGTGCCCACGAGCGGCGCGGGGCTGCCTGCTCTGACACCGACCTCCCCTCAACCTGGGGCGGCTTTGGCTGCGATTCGCTCCAAAGCCAAAACACACAGCGGGATCCGTGCCTGGGGGGGAGGTGGGGAAGCTGAGGCTCTCGGGGGGGCTCAGAGCTGCTCCTGAGCTCTGCACCACGGGTAATTCCCCGCATGCAAAAAGCCCAGCATGTGAGGAGAACATTTGCACGGCACTCTGGTGATGCAGGGGCAGAGGGGGGGGCGGCTTTGCTGGCCTGCAAGGAGCAACACGTTCACTGCAAGCTCGGATGGTTCCGACTGCAGCACGCGGCTCCAAATGGGAGCGGTAATCGGTGCCCCTGCAGCTCCCAGCCTCCATCCACGGCGCGAGCCATCTGTCTGGGCACGGCTTTGTTTTTTCTCCAGACTGATTGCCCTCTAGTGCGATCGCCGCGTTACTGCTGCCTTGCCAGAGCCGCCCCCCCCCCCCCACCAAAACCCACCCTCCCCTCCTGCTTCAAGCCTTATCTTGCGCAGGGCGGGGAGATGCACTTTAATTTCTGCAGCATGGAAGCGCCTTGGCAGGGGGAAAAGCGCCGTCCCTCCCTCCCCTCCGCCTCGCAGAGCCGTGCTGCGTTTCCCTTACCGATATCACAGACGGCATCTGCATAGGGGGGCCGGGCAGGACAGGCATGGTCTGCCCGTTTGGCAGCTGCACGACGAGCGGAAGGGAACCTGTGGGTGACCTGCAAAGACAGCGCGGGGCTCGGGGGTTATTTGGGGCCGGCGTCGTCCAGGCAGCACGAATGAACTGCGGGCTTTCCCCTTTCCGAAGGGCGCTTTGTGAACTGAGGAGTGCGGAAGGTGGGGTGGAGGCGATGGGGACGGAGCCTCATTGCTACAAATGAAAACAACCAAGGATTTTTTTTTTTTCCACTGCAGATTTCGCTTGGCTCAACGGGCTCTGCCTCCATTTCACTCCTCTCACTCCATTTCAGAGCGCTGCGCTCAGGCGGTGACCGTCCTGCACAGGGAAAGGGGGGGTGGAACGGAGCAAGCGATGGGGAGAGGAAGGAAAACGACCCTGGAGCTCCTCCTGCTCGGCGCAGCCGGGAGCAGAACGGTGCAGAGAGCAGCAGGGAGGAGAGCAGAGCTGCCCCCTCCTCCCAGCACAGCCCAGGGGATGGGGGATGGATGGAGCCAGCGTGGAGCGACGGCGGCGTGGGGGGAGCGGGGTCAGAGAGGGGGGCTCCGCGCGCCCATAACTCAGGCTGGAATTTTTAAGGCTGCCCTGGGAACGCCAACGCTCGGCTCTCATTCATTTCTATTGGGCATCCCAAATCCTCCAGGCTGCTTTGAAAATCCCAGGCTAACAAGGCGAGCTGTGGGGAGGTCACAGCCCTCCCCTCCATCTCTGTCACGCTGACAACCCCCCCCGGGCCCGCGGGGGCCCCATTATGGCTGCAGCCAAACCCCCCCCCGTGGAGCTCTGGGATGGATCCATCCCTGAGAGCTGCAGAGGACACAAAACCCCACTGAAGCCCAGATTGCTCCAGTTTGATTTTCTCATGTCTCCAAGCGAGGGGGGACTCTGCACCAAACAGCCTGGGTTACAGGCAGAATGCAGGCAGAACAAGGGCAGAATAAAGGAGGGTGGAATGCAGGCAGAATGCAGGTGGAACACAGGCAGAATAAAGGTGTAATGCAGGCAGAATGCAGGTGGAAGAAGGGCAGAATGAAGGTGGAATGCAGGCAGAATGCAGGCAGAACAAGGGCAGAATAAAGGTGGAATACAGGCAGAATGCAGGTGGAACAAGGGTAGAATAAAGGTGGAATGCAGGCAGAATGCAGGTGGAAGAAGGGCAGAATGAAGGTGGAATGCAGGCAGAATGCAGGTGGAAGAAGGGCAGAATAAAGGTGGGATGCAGGCAGAATGCAGGCAGAATAAGGGCATCTCCCGAGGGCTGCAGCCAGCAGTGAGCTCTGAGCTGATGCTGGATCCAAGTTGATGCATGGATCCAAGTTGAAGGAGGGAAGACTGAGGTTGGATGTCAGGGGGAAGTTCTTTAACAGGAGAGCAGTCAGGCCCTGGAACGGGCTGCCCAGGGAGGCTGTGGATGCCCCGTCCTTGGACGTGTTCAAGGCTGGACGGGGTCCTGGGCAACCTGATGTGAATGTGGATGTTTGGTGGCCCTGCTGGGCAGGAGGTTGGAACTACGAGATCCTTGAGGAGGATCCCTTCCAACCCGGGTGATTCTGTGATTCTGTGGATGCATCAAGGGGCAAAAAGGGGCAGTCGATTGCTGGGCTGAAACGAACGGCTCCCATGGCAGATGCTGAGCGTGCAGGAGGGCAGAGGGTGGAGAAGAGGCTCTGCTGCAGAGGCAGCGGCTGTCTGAGAAAATCCCATTGCCACTACAGACACAGACAGCTTCCTACGGGTGGCTTTGCTGAGCTCTCTGCTCGGCACCAGGCTGCAAAGGCAGCTTGGGAGTCCCCAGACACCATCAGAGCTTTGGTGTGCATCAGGGCTGGGCTCACGGAAAGGAGCTCTGCAGAGAAGGACCTGGGGGTCCCGGTGGCAACAAGGGAGACCGTGAGCCAAAAGTGTGTCCTGGTGGCTGAGAACACCAATGGTGTCCTGGTTGACCAACGATCGACCACAACCAGCTGTGTGCCCTGGTGGCCAAGGAGGCCAATGGCTCCCTGGGGTCACTGCACAGAGGTGCTCCCCACTCTGCTCTGTGCTGGGGAGGCCCCATGAGGAGCACTGGGCCCCCAGTTCAGACTGGGAAGTGCTGGGAGAGCCCCACGGAGCGTGCAGAGCTGTGGGAGCCCAGAGCACCTCCTGGTGGAAGCTTCTATGATTCTGTGTTTGGGGATTAATTTCTCCCTGCAGTGAGATCCGCCTCGTTTCATTACACTGCAGCAATTAGTTCCTGCCTCCTGCACTTCCACCCCATTCTGCTTTTGCAATGAGGCCCTTATGCCCAAGCAGCCGCAGCACCTCGGATCTTCTGCCAATCAAGGAACTTCTCTGGGTCCCTAATTACTGCTCGGGAAGCATAACAGGAGGGAAGCCTCGGGGCAAGGAGTCCGTGCTACAAACTCACCCGAGCTGCCTGTTGGATGGCGGGGCCTGGGTGATGACAGAGGTTGGGGAAGGCAGCGTGGGGTGCAGGGGGTCGTAGCCCAGGTGCAGGGGCAGCGATCCGGGGCGCACGATGGTTGGTGTTGGTGTGGAAATGATCACAGGCTTGGGAGTGATCTCCTAAAGGTGGCCAACAGACAAAAGGAGACACGAGGTTACTGTTCAGTTATCAACTGGAGCTGTGAGATCCTTTCCAGCTCAACCATCCTATGGTTCCATGATCTCTAAGGACTCTTCCAGCCCAAACGCTCCACGACCCCATGATTTACCTTCACCCAAACCTGGCTGCCTGTTACAAGCTGACAGATCAACACGGTGGAAGGGCAAAACAGGAGTACAGCAGCGAAGGGACCAGAGAGAATGGGATGGCATTACAAAGGGAAGGCGCTCACTCATCTCTGAGCTGCACAAAGGAGGGATCTCCAAACAGAGACCCTTCCCCAGCAGCAGTCAGCCCTTAAATGGGGTCTAAAAGTGGTGCAGCCAGGCTCCACCTCTTCTGCTGCTGCACTGCCTTCACCTGTGCTCCCAGGGCTGCCCGGTTCCTTTCCCCAGGTGCTCAACCAGTGGGTCAGGCACGGACTCAGCAGTTCCCATACTTTGCCCCTTCTGGTTTCCCTTTGATGGCTCTGAAACTTAAGGCACAGAACCTGAGGCACAGAGGGGCACCATTTACCCAAACTGATTGTATGTCACTGCAGGGAATGGGGCACAGAGATTCTGGCTCTGGGAAGTCATCCCCTCTGTGATTCACTGCTCCTCTCCTGCTCTGACCACCTGCTGCCCACCCTGGGGGTGAAGCTGCACCGCTGCACTTCATCCCCACCTGAAGAGCATTCCTGGGATAGGCAGGAAGCTTCTCTTCACCTCCACGTGGAGATTTAAGCGTGTTTGAAGAGCGGCGGGGAGGGAAGAAGCGATTCTCTCTCTTTCACAAACAAGATGAGCCACAGTGGTACCCAAACGGGGCGAAGCTCTGCTCTGTGCAGCCTCTGCCAGGGCTGGGGGTCGGACGTACCTTCTCCTTGCTCTGCGGTGACCGTGGGTTGGAGGCAGGGCTGTCAGGGGGGGACGAGTCCACCTCCACCGGCTCCTCCTCCTTTATTTTGATGTCTGGGGTGGAGGGCAGCGACATGTCCAGGGCTGCGTTGCTCTGCGGAAAAACCAGCGATGGATTGAGAGGACAATGAGCTCACATCGCCTGCCGAACGGCCGCCCGTTCCCAAAGGAAGAGCTGCAGCTCTGAGCTGCCAAATTATTATTATTTATTGGTCCTGAAACAGCAGCTGGGAGCCCGAGGCGGAGAGCGAAGCCGCGCCGGCCCCGTGAGCACACAGCCCCAATGGCACCTCGTGCTGAGAACACAGAGCTGATTCTTTGCATCCCAGGGCTCTGCGGAGGAAAGCAGGTAACAAAGCCCTGAGCCACAGAGGGCACCTTCATCCGCAGAAAGAGCTGCAAAGCGTTGTATAAATCAGCCTGAATTATTTTACTGCCCGATTATCGAAAGCAAACAAAGAGCCATGCAAGTTATTAAACATCCAGGGGCTCCCCATTAAAATGAAACCCGACTGCATGCCCACAGATGGCAACACGCCGCCAGCCTGGGCTCCTGCAGTGCCACGTGCCCCATTTCAGCTGATGGGGAGCTGGTGGGGATGGGAAGAAGGTGACAATGGGGGGGGACACGAGAGAGAGGCTGCTTCTGTGGGGCTGGGAGGGAACGGAGTGGGATGGAGCTGTGGGGTGGATTCGGATGGAGAAGCCCCTGCACTGAGCGGCAGATTAAGGGCAGAAATGCCCGTAACTCAGAGCTGCTCTCCATCCCCCATCCCTGCTCGGCAGCCCAGCCCGGCCCCTAACCCACACCTCCTCCTCTGCTGCATCTGAAGTCCTCTCCAGGGAGGGAAAATTGAGGCAAAAAGGTAAATCTGTGCCTCTGGGGCTGCTCTGGCGCTGATTTACACCGGAGCTCGTGGCCACGTACCTGCCCTGCTAAGCAGAGATGGGAAGCACAAAGGAGAAGGGATTAACATTGCAGGCAAATTTCGAACCACTTAAAGTGCCTCCAGGGAAGCTCCCGCTGCTCCCATGGTTTTAATTAAGGCGCTGCTGTCGGACCACCCTTGGAAACAGAGGACAAAACCCTGCAGCAGCCGTGGGGCCGCCGGCAGCCAACGCTCTGAGCATCGCAGCGATGCAGCAGCAGCTCTGGGGGGGCAAACAGAGGCAGCGGGGCTGGGGGCTGAGGGGTGCGCAGAGCTTTTTGGGGAGGGTCAACGCGTCCCCTCCGCCCAAACCACCCCCTGAGCTCGGAGCCGCCGCCGTTCTCCCGACTGCTGGCGGAAATATTTTGCCTGCGGCCGTCCTGAAGAGCCAAACAAAAATTAAAAGGCAAATATCCGAGAGCTGAAGGCTGCAGAGCAACGGGAGCTGGGTGGTCTCCCCCCGTAAAGCGAGCGGCGAGACTGCGGGCGGCTGAGCCACGCCGACCCGAAACCGCAAACGGGGCGCAGCCTCCAGTCTGAGCTGCGGAGAACAAAAGGTGCAGAGGGGAGGAAGGCCCGCACGGCCCCGCAGCGCTGAGCGGAGATGGATGGGCGCTGCCAGGAGCAGAGAGAGGCACTTTGCAGCGCTCGTTCCCAATTCCTCCGTCCCCCATCTCGGGGAAGATTTACGCCGCTCTGCTCCCGCGGTTTATTTCCGAGCAGCGCCGCTGACTGCGGGCGGACGGACGTCCATCCATCAACCCCGTAAATGTATGTGGCAGCCTAAGAGCCCCGCACGCAGCTGTGCTCCTCCGATCCCTGAGAAGGGAGGGGGGGGAGTCGTCCTTAATGAGCTGCTGGCTGATGAGATCCCGCCGTCCTTCAGCCCCGGGGTGGCGGGGGCAGCTCGGATCGATGCCGCCGGCAGCCAAGGGGGCTCTTTGTTGTTAGCGCAGCCCCTCCTGCGCGCAGCCCCGCTCCCCACCGCAATGCACCGCGCTGTGGATGGTGCTGCGTGAGCCCTGCCCTGCTCCTTTGTCGGGGGGACCCCAGAGCTGCACCTCTGGGGAGCATCGTTGGGGATCCGACACCCGGAGAGGTTCAGAAAGGATTCTGCTCAGATCCCGGAGCCCCCAGGGTTGGTCCTTTCCACCCCGATCCGCGCGGTATTTGGGATTACCGCCTCTTTGCCCTTTGGAATGAGGGAATGAGAAACCCTTCCAACCCGCTCTAAACGGGGCTCCCATCACACGACTGGCAGCCAGAGTCGCCCCACAGGAAAACCCCAACATGGGCACAGCAGGACGTCCTGCCCTCCAGCACAGCTCCCCCAGCCCGGGCTCCCAGCGCTGCCTTTCTCCTCTTGCCTTTTTCTCCTCATCCTCGGAGGCTTTCTTGAACTCGTGCTCGAAGGAGCTCGCCAGCTCGTTGAACAGCCCCACCTCCTCGCAGTTCTTCAGGAACCGAGTCGGCGTCGGGGTCTGATCTGGGGGGGCAGCACAACAACACCAATTCACACCGTGCCCCCCTGCGCCCCTCCTGCACCCCCCTGCTCAGCACAAAACCTGATGATGTTTTCCTGGCCTGTCCCTCCCAACCCGGGGTTCTGCCCGTCCTCGGGGGCAACACCGGAGGGCAGGAGTGGGGTTGGTGTCCCCAAAAAGGAGCAGATCCCAAAAGCACAGAGGGATCAGAGGAGGAGGAGAAACCCACCAGCAGCAACCCGCCTGCACGGGACCCTCCTGCACTTTCCAGCACAAAGGGGGTCCTTGGGATGCTTCCCTTGAGCCGTGGTGCATTCCACCCTCCCTGCCTCATTAAGGTTTGTTCATTAAGCACGCTTTGCTCGCCCACACCTCTCCCCATTAAGCCCACGACCTGCTCTGGCTGCAGATCTCAGTGGGATGCTGCTTCTGCAGCGTTTTCAGGGCTCTGTTTGGACCATCAGCATCGCTCACCTGATGCCACAAAGCACCAGGACTGCCCCCAGCCCACCACCTCTCCCATCCCAACCTCCAGGAACTGCCCAGAAGCTCCCAATTCCCATTTCAATCAGTCCTCGCGTGGGGAGAGCTCTGTTCCTTCTGACCCTCCTCATCCTCACTGCAGTGTTTTGGTGTGGGTGAATCCTGCCGCTCGTTAGCACAAAGCTAATGAGGGAGGGAGGAAGAAAACCCCGGGACAAAGCAGTTCGTGAAGTGTTTTGTGCTGGCGTCTCAGCCACGACTGTGTGCACCTTTGGGAGCTGCAGAGATGAGGATTTGGGAATGGAACCACCTCATCTGTGCTCCCATCCCCTCCCAGCCAACATGGATGGGAGTTCATAGAGGAAAAGCCACCCCCCCCCCTCCTTGCAGCCTATTTAGCAAAGGAGAACTGGCCTGAAGGAGAACTGACCTTCAGGAAACTGAGCCTGCCTGCAGCCCCCACCCCAATGCCTTCCCCATCAGCTCCCATGAGGCTGATCCCACATGGAACGAATTCTCCCCATTTTGGGTCCCTTGGGGTCCAGCCTCAGCTCTCTTAGGACCTCATCCACAGCCGCCAACCCCAACCCAACCCAACCCTGCACCCCTTACACCTAAACCCTAACCCTAACACTAACCCTGGCTCACAGGCTCACAGCAATCTGAATTGCTGCTTCCCCATCAGCCCCAAAATGGGGCTGGAGATGGATGTGGGCTGAGCGCGTCCTTCCCAAGGGCTGCAGAAGGGATTTCCCTGCTCTCAGCCCTACACAAACCCCCAACCCATAGGAGACCCAAAAGAGGATCCCAGCGAAGCAGGAGAGCATCAGTAAGCAGCGATGCTCTGCCGCCAGACCCCGATCTGTGCTTTCTTTTCCCCGTTCCATACGGGCTGTGCTGACCCTGCAGCACTCGGAGCTGTTTGGGTTTACAAAACAAAACCCCCAAAAAAGGAAAAGCCGACGCCTGCGCTGGGGAAAGAGCTTCGCTGTCACATCCTGCACCAGAGAGGAACCTCCGTCCACCCATCACCCCCCTCCAAATGACAAAAAGGGGGGGGAAAACAAAAGAGAGAAGGAGAAAAAACCCAACGCCGCCGTAAAGAAAGCGGGGGGAAAAAAAAAACCAACGAGCAGAAAGTCAGCAGCCTCCGGCTCCGCTCTGCTCCTGATTAAATGCAGATCACAGGGCTTTTTATGGGAGGCAGAGACGTGGCTCGCTGCATCTGCTCCCCAGCATTAATCTTGCAGCCGTGGGCATTAACGCGGCGCGGGGCTGAGCCGTACCTGCCATGATGACCGAGTCGGTGCGCGCCGGGCCGAATTTCAATGTCATCTCATGTTTGTGTTTATGAACTGCCAGGTGGTCCTCGTTTGTAAACCTCTGAAATGAAACGGTTCAGAAAAGGGTGAATAAATGCGGGTTGCGTTTTATGGGACTGGGGATGGGGTGGGGGGT